TTTTATTTACTTTATATAACTCGCTCTAATGCACTTCTTTATTAATGTCTCATTTTACCCTTTAAATTTTTTTTTTTCTTGCTTTGGAATATATACTTCTTCCTCAATAGTTACAAGTTCTAAGGCATGTGCATATTACATTTCATTTTTCCTATACATAAAAAGTAACATGCTTGTTCGGCCACCCCACGCCGGGGGCGGACCTACGAAGGACATTGGGTTAGGCACAGACCAACCCATCTCCCAAAAATTATTTATATTTTTAAAGTTTTATAACGGTAAGTCCTACCTACTAAAATAAGAATAATACAAAAGATTTTTTAACTTAAAGTTTTATTAGTTAAAAAATACAGTAAATCATATCCAATAATATATCTATTTTGGCCCTTTCAAATCTTGGTTTGGTCTGACCTACTTCACAAAAAATAACCAATTTAAGAAAAAAAAAAACCAGAAAATAAGTGATTGCTGTATTATGTCCACCAAATCTAACATTCATACACCACTATGATACAATCACATGACCTTAATTACCCCATACTAAGAAAATACAGAAAGATTAAAAATAAAAAAAAAGAAGTTAAAAGGATCGATTGACGGTCGGGAATTGTAGGTAAGATTCTAATTATTCTGCCACTTGCGAACAACCTCAGCCAGGGCCTTGGTGGAAGAGCCGTCGTGGCTCAGTACATTTGCGGCGGCTTCCTTCAGGTCGTTCATTCTGTAGCGGACCTTCTTCCCGTCTTCGCCTTCCATTAGAGCTCTTACAACTCTCGCAATTTCATTTCGGCTTACCAGTCCGTTTTCGTTCGCTTTTGGTCTCAACGCAACTTTTATGTCCTCCGTCAGCATCACGGCGTTCATCTTCTGCTCGGCGTACAGCGGCCAGGTGATCAGCGGCACGCCATTCGCGACGCTCTCAAGGGTTGAATTCCAGCCGCAATGGGTTAGGAACCCGCCGGTGGAACTGTGGCTGAGTGCCTGTGCCTGCGGTGCCCATGAGGACACCACCAGCCCCCGGCCCTTGGTCCGTTCCAAGAACCCTTTTGGTAGAAAATCAGAAGGGTCTTTTTCACTGTTGACACTAAAAAAGGTAGCATTAGCCTTATCAAAAAAGGTAATATTAGCAACCTCATTTGGGCTCTTCACAACCCACAAGAATCTGTGCGCGCTCATCTCTAGACCCAGAGCCAACTCGACTGTCTGATTGTAAGACAGGGTCCCACCGCTCCCAAATGATACGTATAAAACCGAGCCATCTGGCTGACGATCCAACCACGTCAGACACCCAGCCTCGTCAGCCTTTGTGCTCGGGTCCATGTTCACAAGCGGTCCGACCGGGTACACCGGTGGCTTACCCGGTTCCTTCGCTTGCAGAGCTTTTATCGCCCCTGTTTCCAAGTCGTTGAAGCTATTTACCATGATTCCGTCCGCCAATCTGTACCTTTTCGTGTGGTGAAGAACACATTTGTAAGCGTCGTTTTTACGGTCTTGTACCGGGTCGAGTAATTCCTTCCCGGCAATTGGGATGCACCCGGGTATTTTCACCGGTTCAGGCAGGTCTCTGTACTCGCCCGAGACCTTTTCGTCCAGCTCAGGCAGATAAAAAAACAGAGACAAGGCCATCGCCGTAGATGTGAAAAAAATGTACGGCGAAACATTAAATTCTCTGGCCACGTCAAACGCGTCGGTGCCAAAAAGATCGACAACCAAGCTCACTAGGTGGGTTTTCTCCGTCAGCGACTTCAGGACGTCGCGAAGCGACGGAAGTGAACGAACGACAGTGAGCGATATCAACGTTTCAATTTTGGCATGAACGTCAGTCAAGTTAACCGGAGGGAGGAAAACGTGGTCTATGGAAGCAGGGAGAGAGTCAAGAGTGGATTTCTGAGCTTTAGACGGAGGTCCAGCTGTGGGGATGATGAAAGTAAGTGAGATGTTGTGGAGGCTAACAAGTCGCTTAGCAAACTCAACAAGCGGGTTGAGATGACCCATCCCGGGACTGGGTAGAACGGCCACATGAGTTTTCTTCGTTTCCGCCATGGGAGTGGATAAAATCAGCAGGATTTTAGAAGCTTCAATTTGGAGGTAGGAGTGGGTATGGTTGTGGAGGAATAAAAGAAGAGGAACGGTGGTGTTTATATTAGATTAAAGGAGGGGGTTAAAACTAAAAGTAATAGTAAATGGAATGAATACCGTCAAGAGATTTTTTTTTTTCTTTTTAATAATTTTGATATTATTTACATGTATACATGAGGAGAGGGAAAAAATGAGTACCATAGGGTTCAGGCAAGCAACACACGAAAGAAAATAGTTTTAATTCAAAATTTAATATCACTGAATCGAAACATATCATTAAAAAAAATTTGTTTATTTGTTCTCAATATTAATTTATTTTGTATCTTAGAATCAGATTTAATTTGATTAATTTAAAATTAATTAATTTAAAATTAAATCATATTAAAAAAAAAGTTTGTTCGACATTTATTCCTTTTCATATATAAAATTTAAATTTAAAATTTAATTAAGAAAATCAAATTCCTGTTTATTCGGATAAACAAATTCATTGGTGGAATTTGTTAATTCGTGCGGAAAATAATTTTAAAATGAAAGT